TCTAAACCCTAAAAGGGAGGGGGCATCAGGAGACCTGTCTGACCTCCCATCCCACCATCATAGCCAGGAATTCAGGGTTTTTCTTGTTTTATTTATTTATTTTTTTGAGACAGAGTCTCGGTCTGTTGCCCAGAATGGAGTGCAGTGGCATGATCTTGGCTCACTGCAATCTGCCTCCCGGGTTCAAGTGATTCTTGTGCCTCAGCTTCCTGAGTAGCTGGGATTATAGGCATGTGCCACCACGCCCGGCTAAGATTTGTATTTTTAGTAGAGGTGGGGTTTCACCATGTTGGCCAGGCTGGTCTCGAACTCCTGGCCTCAGATGATCTGCTTGCCTTGGCCTCCCAAGGTGTTGGGACTACAGGCATGAGCCACCACACCTGGCCTAGAACTCAGTTTTAAGGTTTTTCTGGATTTTCTTTGGCCAAGAGTGGATCCGTCCCATTGGCTGGGGGCTTAGGGTTTTAATTTTAATTTACAGAGTGCAGCACTGAGCCACCGAGAAGTCTTGCCAGGCCTCGAAGCCTCATGGAACTTGCCCTGCTGGATTTGAACTTAACTTGGGGCCAGAAACTCCATTTATTCCTTCTTCTTTTTCTCTTTTGGAATGGGAGTGTATATCTTATGCTGAGCTCATCATTGGACCTTGGAAGCATATTTTCTAGTTCCACAGTTGCACAGGTAAAGAGGAATTTTGCCCAGAATGGATCGAACCAGGTGTTACCCATGCCCGATTTCGATAATGAGTGTTGGGATTTTGAGCTGAAAATTTTTAGATGAGACGCTGGGTGCAGCGGGTCACACCTATAATCTCAGCACTTTGGGAGGCTGAGTGGGGTTGATTGCTTGAGCCCAAGAATTTGACACCAGCCTGGGCACCGTGGCAAAATCCTTGACTCTACCAAAAGTACAAAAAGCTGGGTATGGGGGTGTGCATCCAGGAGGCTGAGATGGGAGGATGGCTTGAGCCTGGGAGGTTGAGGCTGCAGTGAGGCGTCACAGGGCCCCTGCACTCCAGCCTAGGCAACAGAGTGAGACCCTGTCTCCACATCTTTAGGTGGGAATTTGGACTTAGAGTTGATGCTGTGATGGCTGGGACTTGGGGGCTGTAGGGTGAGGTGAACACATGCTATGCATGGATGTGGGGGGTTAGATGGTGGCTTGGAAAGAGGATCTTTGCAGAGGTGACTAAGCTAAGGACCTCAAGATGGTATCATCCTGGAGTGGGGTGGGCCTAAGTCCAATGACAAGTGTCCTTACAGAGGAAGAAAGGGGCGGAGCACAAGATGAAAAGGCGCCAAGGTGCCATGATGATGGTGGCGGCAGGGGCTGGGGTGGTGGGTCCTTACGCAGAGCTGAGCGCTGAACTCGTGCTCGGCCTGGCGCACTGCAGCGGGGGTGAGGGATTGTTCCTAGCGGCTGCAGCCCATCCTGCATGTTGTGTCCCTGTGCTCAGTGGCCACATGACCTTTAGAATCAATACTGTCGCCATAGCAACCAAGTGTCCGTGCACATGGGCTCCAAGGCCCTGGCCTTCCAGGATTTCTCAGTCACAGGCCCCGCCAGGGCTGAATCTGAGGGCGCCATCAGGAGGGAGGCTGCCCATGGATTCTCCGTGTAGGTGACACCCAGCATCGGAATCCCATTTCCTGTTTTGGGGATCAGTTCTGAGATGTGTTTTCCAGCAGGAAACAGCACTCGTGAATTGGTTGATCTGGGGAGATTTAATAAAAGGACGCTTAACAAAGGCATGGGCAGAGCACACGTGTTAATTTCAGAATGATGACAGAAGGCAAAGCACGTATTAAAACTAGTGTGACCGAGCTGTGTGCCAGTTATGTGGTGATGGCTGACCTGTGTCCAGGGCATGTCCCTCAGGAGGCATGGCTTTATGGAAGAATTACAGACAATTGCACACGAAGCCTGGTGTCAGGGACTGCACCTTGTAGGCCAAACCACCCCCAGCCCTTCGGCACGTGCTGTGGCCACACACTCGCTGTCCTGCAGCACAGACCCTCTGTCCTCCCACAGGAGCCCGTTTCTGCTGGAACCCAGACTCCTGGCCTTCCTTGGGCTACTTGTTCAGGCTAAGGCCTCAGCTTCAGGGCCACCTGCTCAGACTTGTGCCGGACCACCCCAGCTAAAGTGGTCCCAGGATCATGCATATGCTGCCCTGTGTGTGTGCTCCTGCATGCCAGATGTCACGTGCACTGAATGTATTTATCTGTCACATTGTCACTCGGTCTCCTGTCACTGGAAGGGGCAGACAGTGTCGCTGCCCCAATGAAGCTGATGCTCCTGGACAGCCTGGACATGCAGGGAAGCTCAGGAATGCTCTGCTGGCCTCACCGCCCCTTTCCATCCACAGCTGGCCCCATCCCAGCCTCAGTCCCTCCTGGCGCCCCTCAGAACTTCAGAGCTGCCTCCCATGAGGCAACAGGGCTTGGTGAGCTCCTGGGTGCAGCGGCTCCTGACCCCTCCTCTGTCTCGTGCCCACCCTGTGTACCTCTTACACTCTGTCTTGTGTCTTGTGCTTGCCTGGACCCTGTGCCATGCTAGGCAGGAGTCACCTGGACAGTCCAAGAGTTGTGCCCTGAGCCCACAGGCCCCTGCAGGACTGACCCGCACTGGCCAAATCCTAGGACGCAGCATTCTTTTGGGAGCTGCTGTTTCCCCACAGCCTTCCCATTTCCTGACTGAGGGGCAGGTGCCTGGCTTGGTGTTTGAGGCTCACAGCAAGGGTGGGGTTGGAGGGTATCCTAGTTCCGTGTGCAGACATTCCATGAACTCCTCCAGCCCGCTGCACTCTGTCTTCTGCAGGACTTGGCGTCCCTGGGTCAGGGCCCCCTTTGGGCCCTCTGTCCAGAGGAATGTTCAACCTCAGCTGCCCGCGCCTGGGAGGCGTCCTGGGCTCTGGCTGTATTTACATTCTCCCACCTTTTGGGGTCCAGGTTACATGCAGGTCCTCAGCCTCTCCAATCTTCAGAGTTGCCTTTCTACTCGCTGTCTGAAGTCCATTAACATGTTCTCCCTTCTCCTGTTCCCTCTTTGGTTGTGGTGGGGACGTTATAGCTGTTATTCATTTTCTGCCACTTTTAGGGGTCAGAGAGAGGGGAGGAGAGGAGGTTATGTACGTTGAGGCTGTGCATTTTGGGAGGAGCCCTGGGGAGTCTGATGTGTGCGTTGGGTGTGCAGGGTTCCAGGCACTGCCCTGCCTCGGTGCCTCCCCTTCCAAACGCGCCTTCATCGCTCCTGTTGGGATGGGCACCGAGGGCTTCCTCTGAGGCAGATGCTGAACCTGCTGCTTTCTGTGTGCCTACTGGAGAATGGCAATTTCGAGGGAGAGCAGAGGACAGAGCTGCGTGGCTGCAGGGGCTGGGAAGTCAGCTCTGTGCACCAGAAGTTTAGTTAAGAGACTGATGCGTCTGTGCTAGCCAGGCAGGGAGACCTGTGGTGGCTGGTGGGTCAGGTAACCTAGGCTATGCTGCCATAAAAATACCATCTAAATCTCAGCAGTGAAATGCATGCTATTTCTCCTTGTTCTATGTGTCTTAGGCAGCTGCGTGTCCTAGGCAGGTGCGTGTCCAGGCGGGTGCATGTCTAGGTGGGTGCGTGTCCTGGGCAGGTGGGTGCATGTCCTAGGAGGGTGCTTGGCCAGGTGGTTGTGTGTCCTAGGCCGGTGGGCAACAGCTCCATTCCTTGCAGTCCCCAAGGGATGGGGGCTCCTGTTGGCCCAGAAGCCACATAGACTTCCTGTGCTCACATTTCATGCGGCAGGCGGTTAGGGCAGGTGGTCACCCTGAATGTCAAAGGTCAGGAGAGGCAGGCCCACCGTGGCTGAAGGGCTGGGTTGACAGTTGTGTGCGGTGGGATGGGTCGGGGCGGGAGACAGGGTCGTTGGAGCCAGGTGGGGGATCCGCTGATCCGCGGTGCAGGCAGCAGGAAGTCTCCTCCAGGATTTCACGGGGGGGAAGGGACCCGGGTTTTGCAGCCTGGCTACAGGGAAGAACCTAAGGAGTTAAAAACTTTCTAAAGTCAAACAACCTGGTACCAAAAACCGATTCTTCAGTAACAAGCTCTAGGGGCAGGCGGTGAGGCTCCATGCAGAGCCGCGCCTTCTCCAGCGCACTGCACGTGCCCAGCGCTTTCAGCGCACGGTGGCACCTGGCCCTGCGCAGGGGCGGAGGCGCCCGGAGGTTAAGCCGCGCCCCAGGCCTCCGAAATACGCCGAGTGCCGAGGGCCCTGCCGCATCTGGGCCGCTCGGGCACGTGTTCTCAGGCCAAACAGGGCTCGCGAGCACGGGGCGGGGGTGCCCGAGGGCGCGGGCGCACGTGTTCAGGGGTCAGCGCCCACCTTGGGCGCCCGCGTGTGCGCGCTCGCAGCCAGGCCCGCCCCGCCCCGCCCCGCCCCGCCCCGCCCCGCCCCACCCTCTGGCGCAGCGCTCGGCGCCGCCTGCAGCCTCCTGACCGTGAGCCTGGCCCTGCCCGGCCGATTCCCGCCGCCCGCATCCCGGGCCTGCAGCCCGGCCTCACCCTGCGCAAAGCGGAAGGCTGGAGCTTAAGACTCCTCGCACAGGCGGCGGAAGCCCGCGCGCCGGCGGTTTTCACCAAGGAGGCAGGGGAGGGAGGTCCGCGGAGACCGCGAGAAGGTCCTGCCGCCGTGCCGAGCAGAGCTGTCCCCGTGCCAGGGACGCCGACCTCCCGGCTCCGGGACCCGTGGGGACGCTCCCTGCCTCCCTCGCTCTCGTCCCCGCCGTCTAGTCGGAGCCGTGGCCCCCGTGTCCTGGCGAACCACAGCCCCCATCCCCAGACTGGAGGCGGCCACCCGGTCTCGAGCGACACTCGAGGTGCCAGCTCCGCCCCGGCCCCGCCCCCTCGGAGCCCCGCCCACACCCGCCCCGGCAGTCAGCTTCGCCCCGGCCCCGCCCCGACTGTCGGCCCCGCCCCGCCCCTTGCCGACGCCCCGCCCCTTCCCCGCCCCCTGCGCTCGCAGGCTGCGGGGCGGGTTCCGCCGCCCAGGATAGCGCACGGCTGGCGCTGCGGGCCCCGAGCGCTCCCGCCGCCGCCGCCGCTGCTCTCGGCCCTGCGGGCCGGCCATGCCCGGTGCTCCGGCCGCGGCGCGCACCCAGGACCGGCAATGAGGAGCGGCGCCGAGCGCAGGGGCAGCTGCGCCGCGGCGCCTCCAGGCTCGCCGCCCCCCGGCCGCGCGCGCCCCTCCGGCCCCGATGCGCCCCCGGCCCTGCAGCCGCCCGCTGCCGGCCAGTCCCGGGCCCGGGACTCGGGCGATGCCCGCGCGCAGCCGCGCCCCCTGTTTCCGTGGAGCAAGTGGAAGAAGAGGATGGGCTCGTCCATGTCGGCGGCCACGGCGCGGAGGCCGGTGTTTGACGACAAGGAGGACGGTGAGTGCGGCCGCGGGGAGGGCGTGGGGGCCTGGCGCTCTCGTGGGGGCGGACGCGGCGGGGCGCCTTTTCCACGCGGCGTTAACCCGGTGGGACGGCGTCCCGGGGCGCCCCGGCTTCCGGCGCGGCTCCACGCGAGTCCGGGGCGCCCGCCGCCTCCTCCGTTTCCCGTGGCGGCGCCGCGGGCTGAGCAGGCTGGGCGGGGGGCCCGCGGGGCGAGGGTCTCCCGGCTGTGGCGGCCCAGGGCTTGCGCGCGCCTCCGCCCACCGCCCGCCGCAGCCCGGGTCTTCCGCCCTCCGTATCCGCTCGCCCGGGCCCACGTGCGGGCTCGCTTGTACTTTGCTGTTAGGAGGCGCTCACCTGTGCGGAGTGAGGCGCCTGCCCCACAGGTGGCGGCCCGGTCCTGTGGTGACCGCGCGGTGTCCGGCCTCGGCACAGCCATGTGCGCGGGAGGCAGGGCCTGGCCTCTCGGGAACGAGTGCGCAGTGAAGTCCTGCAGGTAAAGCTGCCGAGCCCGGGGAATGGTGTCTCAAGTGACCGTGCAGCAGTGGGCGCCAGCAGAAAAGGCCAGGCGAGGAGACGGAACAGGCCGTGCAGGTCCCGGGGGCCCCCGACTTAGCGCTTGTCGGGAGGTTCCGCGTGGCTTCTGCCGGTGGACACTGTAATATAGTCTCTTGCAAACATATACAGCTCTTTTCTGCAGATGCCATGTAGATTATTTGAAACGGTTCAATGATGACATGTTTCATGTTTTTTGACGTTTTCTTAAAATAATTGAAATGTGCATTTTTCATTTGTAGACAGCCTGCAGAGGTATGATGGATCCATTATAATTTTAGAGCACAGTGCTCAGGAGCCCAAGCTATTTACTTGGGATAAATAATTTAAGCATTATGGGAAATTACAATAATACGACCTCGGGCCAGCGTTGGTGAGTGCGGGGCTGTGCACCAGCGTTCCTCCCGGAGACAGCCCCGGCATTGATGCTGTGCTGCCCAGGAAGAGGGCTAGAGGCCCAGCCACACTGGGTCCCGCACCTTCCAGGGTGGCCGTCGCTGTTTTCTGAACTTTGGGACAGCAGAACTCACTGTGGTGAATGTTTGATACCATGTTTTTGTTTTTAACATAAATATTCAAGCTAAAGAAAGCCAAGTGAACTAGGCCGTAATCAAGAGGCAGATTTGCATATCTAGTTTCTGGCTGCAGATGAGAGGAGGTCTGGGAAACACATCTGGCTGAGCACCTGCTGGTGTCTGCCACGAGCTGGCCACTCTTCTGGGTCTCTGCGCAGTGCTCTCCAGGGTGGCTGAGGTGGGACAGGAGGCAGTGATGTGGCCCTGGGTGGCCTTCGGCTTTTTAAGTTAGACTTTTCTACATGTTCACAGTGTGTTATGTCACAGAATTCAAGGATCACTAGAAAGGCAGAAAGAGCATAGAGTGTGTCTGTGGGGCCCGCAGCCTGACGTGGGGATCATTTCGTCACTGTATTTGCCTCACGTAGGGTGGTGCGGTGGAGGTTTCGGCTGACATGTCCCACGGACCCCGGCTCCTTATGACGTGGCATGCAGCCACATCCCACGCTGAGCGCCTGCCGGGGCTTAGCTGGGCTTTGTGTGGTGAATGCTGTAGGGCAAGGCTGGCCACTGGCCCAAATAGCAGAGGACATTCTCTGGGCAGGTGACTGCTTCGTTCCCCTTCTTCCGGTCATTGGCGGGGCGCAGACAGCTTGGAGTCATGGCACAGTGTTTGCAGGAGAATGTGGTGCAGCACTGAGTGAAAGCGGGGACGCGCGTCAGTGGGAGTGACGCTGTTGGAAGGAGAAAGGTGAGTGTTTTAGGAGTCCCAGCTCTTTCAGGTTGGCCGAGTCACTCCCGGGCACTTTCGTGTCCCCACGAAGCAGCACTGGCTTCAGGAGGCCCCGGGGCTGTGTTGGTAACTCCAGTTTACTGAAGCTGCACAGTTGCTATGGCAACGTGAGACCTTCTGATGAATTTTTTAGGTTAAAACACCTAATTAATATATCAAATTTAGTATGCAGAAAAAGTAAGAGGGCTGTTTAACAAAGTGCCAGGTAAATTTCAACTGCTAGGCATAGTCGTGACGTAGAAGATTGTAGATGTCCCCAGTTCTTTTAATCCTCGTGGACTGCAGAGCCGTCCTCCTAATTGGCAGGTGTTTGGTGCAGGTACAGGATTCTCTGCACCTCGTTGTCATTGGTTTTCCTTGCCCTCAGCCGCCCACGTCCTCCCATTCTGTCCCTTCTCCGACTTCGGTGAGAAATTCTTTTTGGGGTTGAAGCTGGTTAGGGAGCATTCCGGCTTCCGCTTTGCGCCAGAGCTGCGTGGCATTGGGCGAGCCCCTTCGTTCCTCTGTGTCTTGGTGTCCTGGTGATACCAAGTGAGCCTGAGAGGAGGCTCCGGCACCTTCCTGCTGAGCAGCTCAGCGACCTGGGGTCTCCGGGGGTCACAGTGTTGTGTCTCCAACCAGACGTGGCATTAGCCCACCAGCAGGAAGCAGCCCTTCACCCAGGGGGCTTTGCCTTCGTCCAGGGAAGGCTGAAGTAAGGACAGGACCTTGAAGGCTGTGGACAGCCTGCCGCGGGTGCTGGGCTGGGCGGGCCGTGAGGCAGGACCAGGGGCTACCAGACTCCTCAAGTCATCTCTTCAAATTAAAAACACCATTGTTTCTTCCTAATTATAAAAGCATCAAAAATGTCTGCATTTGAAAACATTTTATACGTTATGCCAGGATGCCCGTAACTTCAGCACTGAGCGATCACAGCGAAGGTGCCGGCGTCACCTCCCAGCCTGTCTCTGGCAGTGCAGGTACAGCCGTGGAGAGACGCTCTCTCTTTGTGAGCAGAAGTGGGATCCTGCCCTGAACGCTGATTTGCCGCAACGTGCTTGTGGATTCAGCAGTGTCGCCAGCGTCTTACAGACCTAATGCATCATTTGTTGGCTGAGTTCACAACAGTTCTCAACCCCAGGCTGTATTCTAGAGTCATGCACTGGGCACTCTTAAAAAATGCCCAGGCCCCACACCCATGAACTGCGGGTGAACTGGGGGGCTTGGTGGGCCGGGGGTGGGCTCTGGGCTCAGGAGGCCCCACACCCATGAACTGCGGGTGAACTGGGGGGCTTGGTGGGCCGGGGGTGGGCTCTGGGGCTCAGGCTTGTCTTTAGGCCCCTTTTGGGTTTTCCCAGCAGTCAGGGCTGAGAATCCCGACTCTGCAGTGTTCCTCTCAGCAGCTGTGACGTTCTCTGCTTACTTAGCTTCCTGTCACAGAGCAGTGAGGTGTTTCTATTTTATAAATATCATGAAGATGTATTGATGATCATCTTTGCATATTTGTCTTTGTGCACTTGGCGTTGTTTCCCTGGGATACATTTTTAGGAATGACATTGCCCAAGCAAAGGGGTCCACGTGAAATACCTTGGCATGTGTGGCCCCTCACTGGGTCCGTCCATGAGCCTTGGATGTGGGCCTTGCAGTCGTGGGGTGACCAGGCAGAGGGGAAGCAGGGAGACTGGACAAGACGGGGAGGCAGGAGCAGGTGCAGCGGACGGCAGGAGGCACGGCGGGGAGAGAACCAGGGGCGCCTGCGCTGAGTGGGGCGGCAGGAAGGGGAAACCCATTTTCACGTGCTCCGGGGATGGAGGGTTTGAAAGCCTTTCCCCCTGAATCCTCGCCCACTTTGGCTATCAACAATGTTTCTGTTTTTTGCCAGTCTGAGAGATGAAAAGATGGCACTCATACTTTGAGTTTCTTTGATTACCAATGAGGTTTGGAGCATATCCAGGTTTCTTTTTTCAGAATTGTTTGCTCGTGCTTGTTAGCAGCCTGTGTGCCGAGGGGTGGCAGCCCCAGGTTCCCCTAGCCCTTCCTGGAGAGTTCAGAGGCCGAGCCGTCCGCAGCTTCCCGTCCACGTTCCCGCTTATGTTTTAATGTTGCTACTTGGTGTTTTTCTCTATGGATGTGTTTACTTTGTGTGTGGTCAGATTCATCATTTGCCTTTGTGGCCGCTTCCAGCCTTGCTGTTATGTGACAGAAGTCCTTCCCAGCACAGCTAAGAAGAGTTTCATTCAGGAACCTGCGTCTGTACTTTCTTCTAGCGCTTCTGTGGTTTCACTCTTTGTGTTGGAAATGGAAACCTTTAGGGAGTAGCACTTGAGGGAGAGTGAGAAAGCTGTCCTCTTCTTCCGTGAGTCCTCCGCTTTCCCAGGGCGAGCGTGGTCAGGATGTTTCCACATGTACAGGTCTGAGGGCTCCGAGCAGCCCCTCGCCACAGAGCCCGGGCAGGCTGTACCCTTGCTGCTCCCGGCCTGCGGGACTGGTTGCTGATTAACGCTGGACTGAGCTGGTCACTTCCACACCGGGTGCTGCTGGCATGAAGGAACGCTCCACTTCCGCAGCATTCACCTTGTGTGTGGCCAAGACCTCGCCACCTGTGGCACATGACTTCACTTTGCTAAATTCTCCTCGGTTCTTATCACTTTAAAATTCATTTTGAGCCAGCACTGTGGCTCACGCCTGTAGTCCTAGCACTTTTGGAGGTTGAGGCAGGTGGATCACGAGGTCAAGAGATCGAGACCATCCTGGCCAACGTGGTGAAACCCCATCTCTACTAAAAATACAAAAATTAGCTGGGCGTGGTGGCGTGCACCTGTAATTCAAGCTACTTGGGAGGCTGAGGCAGGAGAATCGCTTGAACCCGGGAGGTGGAGGTGGCAGTGAGCTGAGATGGCACCACTGCGCTCCAGCCTGGCAACAGAGCAAGACTGTCTCAAAAAAAAAAAAAAAAAGAAGTTCATTTTGTTGACTTTCTGGGTGGTCTGTCATGTCACCTCAGAGTGACTCTAGGGACCCCGTGATGGTTTTGCCTCACTCTTAGGGGGTTGCTGGAGCTCACGGAGCAGAGGAGAGAGAAGATGCTGAGGCCAGGGGCTGCTGGGGGCTGCGGACAGCTCCTTCTGCTTGGTCCTTGGGGATGGGTCATCCTT